ACAGAATAGACTGTAAAGTGAATTGACCGTATATTTGTGGGCGAAACGCGGCAGCCAATTGCCCACAGCAGTGTCCCACAAACAGTCGTGGATCGAAAATGACCAATTTATTATTGCATTGTTTTGAAGGGATTATTATTAGGCGTGTGGAGTAAAAAAACTTGCCCAAGTTTCGCCCTGCCTGGAATTGAACTTAGGTGTCTCGCTTGCAAGGCGAGTGCTCTAACCACTGAGCTACAGAACTCCACAACCCAATGATGACCAATTTGTGGAGTCCTGTAGCTCAGTGGTTAGAGCACTCGGTCAAGTGGGGCTCTGGATCCACTGAAATTGAAGGGAACTTAAAAATTCTGATCCAGCAGCTGACTGCTGCATTTCAGGTCTTAGGTAATAATAGCTGATGTAAAACAGCCAAGGTTTTAAATCAAAACTGTACAGCATTTATTTTAGAGCATATATTATTTGTGAGCAGCACTAGCTCTGGATAATTCATATCTAATACTTCCACTACTTTTGCGTCTGAACGAAGCATTTGCTTTCAGCGCCTTGGGATGTCCTCCCAATGTGAAAAGGCTGTATACACATGTAATTTTGTTGTTGTTGTTTTAAATATGAAACATTTACACTTACTTTATCCACTCAGACTGCCAACGTTAGGCAGGACTTGGAGTGGGTCAAACAGTTTTGGCTCCAAAATGCCAAGTTTCAAAGTTAGGTGGATAGGTGCTTGCTTTAGGCAAATATAAGTACTGCCAAAGATTGCATTTCTCACAACAATATTCATGTCAAGTGATTTTGTTAAATCAATGGCATTTCTTACCTAACCATCGGGGAAACAACTTGCTTTCTGTGTTATGGGGAAATGGTGTCCTGTCATTTAGTCAAATCTGTTACCTTTCATGCGTTAGCCTAGCTTTTCAGGTGTCTCAAAGCCCTAGTCTGCTTTTGTTTCACGTGTTTGTTAGGGTTTACATAGCTGATGACATGCTAACTAAAATAAAGTTGGCATTAGTTTTTCGGAATGGGAATTTTCTTCAGTTTGAAACAGACCTGGTGAGGTTTCAAGATATGGTCGATCTGATAAACAAAGATTTAGTTTCCACAACACCACCCACTTAACAGACTTCAGTGTCTCCCCAATTCACTGGTGATGTTTTAAACTGGCCAAACGGATCAAACCTATCCCAGTTCCATTAATCCTGGACACAGTATCACCACACAATGTAACTTCCAAACCCCAGATCTGCAGAATCATACCAATGCCAATCTCAGACTATCTCAGACCAAGGTACAGTTACTGTAGTTTCAATACCGATAGGATTACATGACAGGTTTTGGGAGGGGAGTAAGATAACCTTGGCACACTTATATAAAGGATGATAATTCAATTACAATATTATCACATTGGCTGTACAAAGTATGATCAGATAGCTGAGCATCAAACTTGGAATTTGTAAAGCGTTAGGTTGTATGCCTTGTGGCTCTCTTAGCTTCACATTCAGTAAAATGTGTAAAATGTTTGCTGCGAAGTGGAGGTAAGCATGATCTCTTTGGGGGTCACTAGCTCTGAGTAGGTATGCCATGGTGAACCCACTGCATTGTTTATTATTTACCAATTTATCTGTCTTAATGGTGAGACTTGGAGGAATAGAGGTATAGAGCTCTAAAGAACCAAATCATAATGAACAGTGTAGTCCTAGTTGGACATGGATTGTGAAACTTAACAGGTTTTGGTTCATCACAATTTTATAGTTCAAAATGAATTAAGTAAAATGTATGAAGGCAAATCAAAAGTTATGAATTTGATTGTCATGGGAATTTTGTGTTCTGATTCTTGCCTTAATGGCTCAAGAAGCAAGCTTTTGATGACAAAGGCAAGTATTTACAGGGAACAGAGAAAGGGTTCAAGAGTGTGAACTCTGCAGCAGGTCTGCAGACCAAAGTGTATTATCAAATAGTCCACAGATTGAAAAGGAAACACAATAAGCAATGTTATAGAATTAAGATTATAGGTGGATATCTGTAAATTGGACAGGTGGGAAAATGATGCTGGACAAAGGTGGCTTGCCACAACACTGACAGAACCTAGGACCAGGGAACACTGAGCAACATAACAATAATAATAACAATAATAATGGTTCTGAAGCTGAAAAATAGGGTTTATGGCAGCTTCCAGGAAATACCAATGGTGTGGTTTGGGATCTGAAAAAAGGAACTTTTATTACTGTGGTATCATAATATGCATAGTAATATGTGTCTGTCATTAATTTAACTTTATTGATTCTAAGGATGTAAGTATTATTGGTCTTTATGTTTTGGCACTAATTTATGGAGCAAGTGCATTGTCTTCCTCATTATCATTACTGAGACAAGTACTGCATTTGTTTCATGTAGTTTTATTTGTGTTGGATATAAATATTCCCTGTCTTTCCCTTCCAAATCACATACTGTCAAACCTCAGCGGCCTGGGCTAAAGTGGCCTTTATATAAGAGTGGCCTATGAGTTAGGCGGTGTGTGTAGAATTTCTAAATGTATAAAAAAATACAGTGCATATATGAACCCATAAATTAAACTATTTTTAAGTAAACATTACATCTAATTGCAAATAATAATTAAGTTACAATTACAAGTCATGACTGTTTCCTGAAGAAGTCCATTATCATTTTCTAGTGGATGCATGCTATATTCTAACTGTTTCTCATAAAGCTTGGCTTCTTGAAAGGGTGTCGGTACAATGGCACAAGGTATAAAATGACTAAAAGAGTTGCCATTGGTTGCATTAGACAGGTTTATTATGCAAAATCTGTCCAGGCTGTTCCAGAGTGGTTGTTAACAGGGGGTGGCTGCTGCATGGAGATGGTTGCTTGAACAGGACCACTGTCAATCTGACAGACTTCCTATTGGACATCAAGTCCTGGTTGAGTCTTAACTTTTTCCAACATTGACAAAACCAAGGCTATCCTACTCAGCTCCTCCAGTGTCTCGTCATTTCAGGAATTAACCCTATTGACGTCCCAATTCTTCATTCAGACTTACAGAGCTTATGCAGAATCTTGGCATTTTGTTCAACTGTCAACTCTCCTTCAAGCCTTCCATTTAGGCTGTGACCAACTCCATGTTCTTCCATTTTCACAGCATTGACTGCCTCCATCACTTTCTTCATGGCCTAGTCTTGCTCTCACTTTCAACATTTTAAGTACAAAGTAATTTGTTTCACAATTTAATTTATTACACCAAGTTACAAATACTACTAAGGCCACAAACACCAAAAATATGCATTTCTAAAACCCATGGTACATAAAACATTTATTCATTCTGTTGCATATAACGCTCAAAAATAGCTGAATTGTGAAAATAAAGAGGTTCCTATTTAAGTTCTAGGCAGATTGTTAAACAGATAAAAATCTCAAATTGTTGCCAATGTGTTTTTCTGTGTTAACAGCTTGAGGAGTGCAAAGACAAAGCTGATGGTTTTTGTATGGGTTTCCTGTAGTTTTCTGTCATTGTGAAGACCATAAAGCACAGTAATAGACCCCAGTATCAGCCTCCCTGGTGTCTAGTATTATAAGATTGCAGGATTTGGTTTGTTCAACTTTTTCGACAAAGAATCTGGCTTTAAAAGCAGAATCAATCTCCTTCTTTTGTTGATTCTGAAAATAGAGTATCCACTGGAGCTTTTTATCTGCAGATTTACGATACCAGTGAACAAAATCAGTATTTAAAGTTTTGCTGTCAATAATACAGGGAATCTGCACAGTTTTGTTCAGTTTACTGGTCAATGATAATCGAGGCTGACTCAAGGCAACAGATCCATCTGAAAGAGAAACACACATAATATTATTTTAAAATACAAAATAATAATAAGAAAATAAAATGATTAACAGGAAAAAATGATCTTAAAACACTAACATAAAAAAGAGGCGATCAAAATTACGGCAAAATAAATCTTCATGTTTCTGTGTGGAACGCTGAATTGATTCGGCTTTGGAAGAAAGTGTTCCTGTGCTGATGAAATATAATCATGCAGGAAATGATGTGGATCTGTTTCAGCCAATGTTAAATCTACATATGGCTTAATGAGTGCAGTTCACTTTAACTGGACATAAAAGTTCATGTGGTCGCTCAATGTGATCAGATGTGGAAGTTCAGTGGAGCTTGAGGACACTTTATGTAATAAACCAAAATCCATGGTAGTGAACACTAATAATCTTTCATAGTTCATTCATCAAAAACAAATGATACATCCCCTTGTATTATTTTTTCAGTTATCAGGTTTTGTTGTCTGGATAATTCTATGTAAGGCAACTTTTGTGTATAGTCTGGCTCCTAAACACAAATTGCTACTCTGACCTCCTGTGTAAGATTGACAAACAATACATTATGTTGCACAAAATAGCAATCATACAAATTATTATGTTGCCAGTTTATGTGTTTAAAATGCCCGATTTTCTTAATAAGGATGTTCCCATGGTTTAGCGTGACCAACCTGAGATTAACATTTGCACGACTGGGATTCCTTATTAGTAACACATTTTAGACTATTAAAAACGCAAATTCAGGCATAATCTGTATTTTTTTAGAAAAGACATGTTAACTAATGAGCTTCAGTTGCTATTGGTGCAATAATGCTGAACTTTAACTGAACTGGAATGGAATAGAAAATGGCAGATACGATGTAAATAACACTTCAAAGACCTTACTTGGGACGTCCTCCCGACGTGAAAGGCGCTATACAAATGTAATTTTGTTGTTGTTGTTATGGTTATTTGCCTGCTTTATATAATATGTGTGAAAACCCTTATATACTATGTTGATAGAATTTAAGCTTCAAGCAAGTGTTTTTTTTTAAAAAAAGAAAATTTACAGCACATATTCAATTTTTTGAAGTGTAGAATTGGGGGCTAGGAGAGCAAGCATTTGGTTTGAATGTTTCCCCTGCTCGGAATTAGGAGAGTGCGGTGTCTGTGTGATAAAGGGAAACATCTGGCCAGGGTTTTTGTTAAGCGTATGTGTGGTTCTTCAGCACTGTGGAATCCCAGTAGGCGCAGTAATAGGTGGCAGAATCGACCTCTAAGACGTTGTTAATAACAAGGACCTGCTGGTTACTGCTGGGCGCCTCTGTTGAGAACCTGCCAGGGGTCTCCTCGTCCAGCTGAGCTTTGGAGTTAGCCCGATAAAGTATCCGTGTTATCGGTTTGTTGGGTTTAGACTGGTACCAGTGAACAGTCTCTGAGCTCTTGATATCGCATTTCATTCTGATCGTTCTCCCCGCAGGTTTAGTAAACGATCTTGGGTACTGATTCACTTTCTGAGCAAAACTTCCATCTGTAAACAGAACAAACGAGAGTGAAAGCAAAACGTTGTGGTTTCCCACTGTGAAGAGACGACCGGCAAGTAAATCTTTCAGGCACTTACGGAGCAAAACTATCGTCACGAACAGACTGTAAAGTAGGAACATTATGCGGAGCTCGGTGCTGCCTTGGATTAACGAGGTGAATCTTCCCATCCGCTGGATCAGATCTTCATCAACTGGAAAGGAAATGACTCGCAGATCTGTAACCAATCCATGTTAAGAAGGTCCCATGTCCCGCCTCTGTAAAATGGTGGGCGTGGTTGCCCTCTTCAATTGATTGCTTAGAGCTTTTTATAAGGTATATAAGGTCCATTTATTTCTGAATAAAGTCTTCATAATTATTTCATTCTATGTTCGCTACTCGAATAACTGGCCTGTTGAAATTGAGTAAAGCAAACATGGGAGTGTGCCTTGGTGTACTGCTGGTTACTCTCCAAGCCTTGGCTCTTACCAATCTGCTCCTAATACTTTCTGGAATTAGGCAACTCCAGGGAGAGAGTGCGCATTTCATTCCAACAATCTTTCTCTGGGATTTCCATGTGTTGGTGGTAAGCGTAGAATTCTCAGGTTGGTTTGGATACTTTTAAGCATGGTGTTGGGTTTCTGCATGTGTCAGACACCCAGCTGACCCAAAAAAGGCAAACTTTCCTGTACCAAGAAATCTGTAGTTTAATAATAATGAAAAGCTACTCAGTTATTACATCCCTTATTATCTCCTTGTTGATGTAAATTAAATTTTTAGTTTAATATATTACAATATTTATCTTATTCTTAGTTTTTGTGTTTATTTTCCGGTCAACCGGATGGTCTAACACATGTGGAAACTCATCGCCATGTGTCTGGTTTAGTTTCCACATCTTCACAAATCTCTTGAGTGAAAAAAAGGTTGCAGTTTTCATTTTCTTACTTCTGATTTTAAGGTTCTGTCCTATCTAACCTGTCAGTTCCTTTCATTATTTTAAATCCCTCAATTTTATTGGTAGCAATATTTCTAAAGGAGGAGGAAAAGGGGAAATCCATTGAAGAGAGGATGATGGAAATTAAAAGTTTGCTTTAGCCCAGGAAAATGAATACAGGCTTTAACTATGTGCATCTGTCAAGATTGCCAGTGCCTAAGGTGATACTGATTGAATGTCTCAGTAGGGAGGTGACTGACACAGTGCTCTGCAAGGCTGAAAGATTCAACCAGACGGGCCAATAATCCCCCCAAATAAAATTTATCATTCATTTCAGGGCTGCTTGTGGTCATTGCTGTACACAAATTGGCTGCCATGTTGCCTACAAAATGCACATTCACTTTTTCTGGACTGTTAACCCGGCAGTAAACAGGCCAAATGCTGTTGACAAACGACATCAAATTGCATTTATAAAGTGTCCTTCACACAGGATAGCATCTCAGAGGGCTTTACAATGGCTGAGCTGGGAAGAAAGGGGCGGTGACCGTAGGCACAGTCGAAGAGTAAATTCTGTAGCTCAGATCTCAAGATGGGCAAAGAGGGAGTGAGGCGGAGTGATTGAGGCATGGAGTTCTAGAGGTTCGGGGTGAAGTGGCTGAAAGCATGGCTGCTGATGGTGTAGGGGTCTAAGGATGTGCAGAAGGGTGGAGCTAACTGACCAAAGGGGGTAGAGGAGAGTGGTGTGAACATGTTGGGTAGGGAGATGCCTGAGCGTGAAGAGATTTGTAGGTGTGAGTAAGGATCTTGAAATTGACTAATTCAATGCCATATAGTTCTGAAGAGTTCTGAAGAGGTACTTGACACTTGAATGGTTTCCTGAATATATGGGCACAACAAACATGACATTTCATATCAGTCTCGAATGATCACATCAAAATTGTTTAGATATTTTACATTTTGTCTCTAATATTTCAAAACTTAAAAAAAAGTTAATAACTACGTCCAATTTGCCCATTGGTGAGTGAACTTTCAACCGTTTTGAACCCACTCTCCAGAACTCTATCCCTCCCTCTCTGAGTTCCTCTGCTTTGCCCCCCTCCCACCTTCAACCCCCACCCTCACTTGGCTCCCACTCCCAGCTCAGGTGCCCATCCAGCGCTGTCAATGTGCTTTGGGATGTCCTCCCAACGTGAAAGGCACTACATAAATATAAACTATTATTGTATTGTATCAAGACCTATCTTTTCAACCTTGCATTTGGCCAACAAAATAAATGTTTCTTGATTTAATATTTCTTGATTTATTGGCTACCCAGTGAAAACAAGCAGTTAAAACAGAGGATGGGATTGTTGCTTGTCTTGTAATGGCACACAATGCAGTTAAACTTTTTTTGATAGTATATGTTGTGTGTATAGGATGTGATATTTGTATCCGTAATTATTCTGGGTTTGATTTGATGCCTACAAGATATAATAATAATCCTTGCATTTGATATAGCACCTTTACGTCATCAAAACATCTCAAAGTGCTTCACAGGATATACTGTAAAGTGGATTGACTGTGTATTTTGTGAGCAAAATGCGGCAGCCAGTGTGCACAGCAGTGTCCCACAAACAGCTATGGAGTGAATGACAATTTTATGGCCAGGACACCAGGAGAAACTTCTACCTCTTTTCGAATAGTGCCATGGGATCTTTAATGACCCCTCAACAGGCAGACAGGATCTCGGTTTAATGCCTCATCTGAAGCATGGCACCTCCGTCAATGCAACACCCCTTACCAGCAGTGTATTGGAGTGTCATCTTAGACTATGTCCCAACATGGGCTATGAAGCCGCAACCTTCTGACTCAGAGGCAAGAGTGCTACCACTGGGCCAAGCTGACAAACACACATTGACTGAGCTGAGTGAGACGGATTTGTTCTACCAACATCACATAAGTTTTATATGTTGAATCTAAACGTTGAGTGCAAACTGCATCTGCTGTTCTGCTGTTTCTATGCCGCTGTGCGCAGATGGGTTTCTGTGGTTCCTCTGAGTGTGTGTGTGTGTACAAAACAAATCACCAAAGCAGCAAAAGTTCGGAAGGTTTTTGTAAAGGGGTTGCATCTCTATTTAGTGCTGTGCTCTTCCCAGGCGGCACAATAATAGGTAGCGGAGTCGTCCAGTGTAATCTGATCGATTATCAGACTGCAAGCTTTCTTATCCATTTCAATTTTGAACCGGTTGTCGACTCCCGCATCTAGTACTGTTCCAGAATTATAAATGAGTAACCTGGTGAGTGGCTGATTCTTTTTATGTTGGTACCAGTGGACAACCAACCCAATACTTATTTCGCCATCGGTCCTGTTACAGTGAATTCGAATTGTTTTACCGAGACGCTTGGTGATTGAAACGGGATACTGTGTTAAGATCATAGCAAAACATCCACCTGAAAAGAAAGCAGAAACAAAATAAAATATAATATAGACTATGAAAGAAATGGCAAATGTACAGCATATACTTGTTAGAGTTGAGTACGTACAGGGCAAAAGCACCAGTGCAAAAAAACAGTGATGCAGCTTCATGATGCAGTGTTACACTGTTCAGTGCAGCTCTGGGTGAGAGATGTCATGTAATCGAGCTGTTTAAACAGATCAAATAGATCTGTTTTTTTTCCATCTGTGAATCCAATCATTGTGTCAGAAAGCCCGGATTTCCTGCCTTTACAAACCGCGGGCCAGTTTCTGTTTCTCTCTTTATTTCCACTTCTAAAGTTAGAGGAAGGCGTTAAAAAAAGAATGACAGGTGCATATCTGATGGTGTTGTACACATGTCTCACTTTGTTACTTTGGTTTTGGGGTGACACGATCAAAACTTAACGTTTGACATAAAACAGTTGTGAGTTTGAGAAAGTTAGAGTTCATGATTTTTGTTTAAAAAATACACATTTAGTTATTCAATTCAATGAAGGGGAATAACATTTGCGCAGCTTGGATTAAGAGGTTCGAGCGATCAAGTGGGTCACAGACGGAAGTTTACTCTGAGCTACGCAGTGGAGAATATGCTTGAGCCCTCGAGTTTTTGGTCCCCAGAATCTTATTGGAATTGTCACACAGAAAATGCCTTTGTAAAATCACATTTGAAAAAGTACACGTTTTATGTTTAATACTTTTTTTAATACCTGCTGTACAATTGGCTGATGCAATTTGCCCACAAAATACAGTCAATTACTTTACAATATATTCTGTGAAGCGCTTTGAAATGTCCTAATGACATGATAAGGCTCTTTATCAAACGCAAGGATTATTATTATTGTTATTGCTTTGCTTCCCTGTAGAATGTTCAGCCTGTGACTATGTCACACACACTAATCAATGGTTTAACTGCCCTGTGTAATAAATAGCTGATAACTGCAATGAATGACTCACAGGTTCTCTGGAAATATTTTGTGAATGATTTCTCGCCAGCCTTTCATTCTCTGATGTTGAATTTTGTTTTGTAGCCTCTATAATTTTCACCTGGTCTGCTCAGTTAATGTTTGTTTTTCTCATTCCCATCTTTCTCCTTTTGATTTCTGGATACTTTTTGATTTGTTTTAATGTACTACAGATATGGTTGTTTAAATTGCAGCATGCACTCCTGACTCCTTTGACATACTTGAAATAAAATTGCGCACAGCAGTGTCTCACAAACAGTTTTGATTTGAGTGACCAAATTATTATTTTTTATCTGCTATGCATTTCCAGTTAATTGTTTTATTACAGATTCCCAACTTTTGTAATTGTTTTCATCATTATTTTGGCTGGGTGAACATTGATAGGACTCGAAAACTCTGAAGATAAGCACAAGCACATCAGAAAAAACATTTCTGCAGTGAACAAGTTTGCAGTCGATATTTGCATTACTACATATTTCAATTTTTAACCCTTGATAGTTTGTCTCTTTTTCACATTCCCGATTATTTTATGCCCGCACTAAGCTTGGTGAACCATCATTCCCACCCTTGCCTCACTTCAATGGTTCCCCATCTCCCAGAGGGTGGAGTTCAAGATGCTTGTTCTCAACTTTAAAGCCATTCACGGTCTTGTTCCTCCCAACCTCTGTGACCTATTACAACTTCAGCAACCTGACCGCTCCTTCCGCTCTGCAGGAATTGGACTATTCCACGTCCCGCGCCCTGCCTGGTCCACTATTGGCAGTTGGTCCTTCAGCGTTTTTGCCCCCACCTTCTGGAACCATCCTGGAGACCCTGTGGCTTGCCACCTCCTTCAAGGCCTATC